GATGGCTCTGCAGCTACAACTTCGGGCTTGTCGCTGAACGATCTGCTCATGTCAGGTCCAACAATACAACCGAAGCTTTTCAACATCCTCATTAGATTTCGATCGTTTCCCGTCGCACTTACTGGAGACATCTGCAAAATGTATAGATGCGTTCGAGTCACTGCACCAGACGACATGCTCCAGTGTATACTATGGCGTGACTCTCCACAAGATGACCTACGCGTGTACAAGTTGAATACGGTGACCTATGGAACTAAGCCTGCATCATTTCTGGCTATTCGGGCCATGCATCAGCTCGCGTTTGATGAATCATCAGCATATCCCCTGGGTTCAAAGGTCGTTCTTCGAGACTTCTATGTGGATGATATGATATCTGGTGGCAATTCAGTGCGGGAAGTGCGAAACATTATGCAGCAAACAACAGGTCTTCTTTCTCGAGGTAATTTCCAATTACGGAAATGGTGCTCCAACAGCCCTGATGTTCTCGGCGATATTCCCCAAACAGAAAGAGAAAGCTTTCTCAAATTCGATGACGGCAGTGATATCACCAAGGCTCTGGGACTAGTCTGGGATCCGTTCAAAGACACTCTGTTGTTTTCGTTTTCGCCGATCAGATCTGGCAGAAATTCCAAACGCTCTGTATTAGCTACCATAGCTCGTTTTTACGATCCACTTGGCCTACTAGGCCCCACTCTGACAAGGGCGAAAATACTTTTACAGCGAATGTGGAGGGATAAGCTCGCGTGGGATGAAAGCTTGCCCCATTCACTGGATACGGCCTGGTCTACGTTTTGTGAAGATTTCGTCAACATTCAACATTCGTCATTTCCGCGCTATGTATTACAGCCTGGAGCCGCGCTTGAAATTCATGCGTTTTGCGACGCTAGCCTTGAAGCATATGGCGCTTGTATATATGCTCGCTCAACTAAGGATAACAACGTCCAATTACAGTTGCTATGTTCAAAGGCACGCGTTGCTCCACTGAAAACTCTGACTGTGCCCAAGTTGGAACTCAGCGCTGCCGCTCTGCTTGCGCAGTTAGTAGGTGAGATAGCCAAGATGAAGGTTTTTGACTGCCGCTTCTATTGTTGGTCAGATTCGTCGATCGTTCTATCATGGCTGCAGGAAGAATCTTCAAAATTTAACGTTTTCGTCGCTAATCGAATATGTGGTATACAGGAGCTTACACAGGGGATGACTTGGCACTATGTTCCTACAGCCATGAACCCAGCAGACATCCTATCCAAAGGGGCCGCACCAAGAGAGCTCTTGCAATCAGCTCTTTGGATGCACGGTCCAATATTCTTGCACAAAGCAGAAATCAGCTGGCCTGAATTTCGCGAACCACAAACCAAGCTTTTGGAAACTCGTCAAAAGGTATTACTCACATCAAATGATCGACCCGACGTATCTCTTTCATTTAAGTACATTAACTCGTTTGGCAAAATGCAGCGTATTTTTGGTTACGTAAGCAAATTTATCAATATAAAAAAATTGCCAAGGACGTCGCAGCTCACGTCTCGGGACATTCATCATGGGGTTCAGTTGTTAATTCGCATCGTTCAGAGAGCGCAGCTTTGGGCAGATTACGTCGCTCTGAAAAATAAGAGGTGTGTCTCATCATCTAGCAGCATCTCTTCATTATCACCATTTTTAGATGACATCGGTCTGATTCGAGTTGGCGGTCGCCTGAGGCATTCAACTCTTGGCTTTGAAGCACGTCACCCGTGTATTCTACCAAAGAATCATCCGCTGACGTTCTCCATAATTGCACATTTTCATCACAAGCATCATCATGTAGGGCCGCAGTCACTACTTGCAGCCATTCGCTTGCAATACTGGCCCATAGGTGGCAGAAAAACTGTCGCCCACGCCCTCGGTAAATGCATTATATGTTGTAAATCGAGACCGCGACTCGTCGAGCACATCATGGCTGACTTGCCTAAGGATCGCATTGCGGCCTCACGCGCCTTTATTGTCACTGGTGTAGACTATTGTGGGCCGTTCTATTATAAGCCAGAAATGCGTAACAAGTCCCCTCAGAAATGTTACGTTAGCGTTTTTATCTGCTTCGCAACAAAAGCCGTCTGGATGGAGTTAGTGAAGGACTTATCGACCAGCGCCTTTATCGACGCTCTAAAGAGATTTGTTGCTACTCGTGGCGTACCCAGCTGCATTTGGTCAGATAATGCAACAAACTTCGTAGGCGCAAGAAACGAGTTGAGTGATTTGCGACGCCTATTTTTCAGCGAGGAGCATCGCAGCGAGGTCCATAACCACTGCCTCAATAATGGGTTTGATTGGCGATTCATCCCGCCCCGCTCGCCGCACTTCGGCGGCTTGTGGGAGGCAGCCGTAAAAACAGCTAAGCAGCACTTTTATCGTTGGCTTTGACGAATTGCGCACTCTGGTATGTCAAATCGCTGCTGTTATTAATTCACGTCCTCTTGTACCACTTTCAGAAAATCCAGAGGATTTAGACGTATTGACGCCAGGGCATTTCCTGATTGGTGGTCCACTAATAGCTCTACCTGAACCTGACCTGAGACATTTAAATTGTAATCGTCTTGACCGATGGCAGCGCGCAACTCACGTGCACCAAATTTTCTGGAATCGGTGGAGTCGAGAATATCTCACTCTCCTCCAGCAACGAGCGAAGTGGCGCACACCTCAGGCCAGCATTCAAGTGAACGATGTCGTATGCGTCAAGGACGAAAACTCACCGCCTCTGAAGTGGCCCCTGGCCCGTGTAATCGAGGTTATCCCTGGAGCTGATGGTGTAGTACGAGTGGCAGTTTTACGCACGTCTAGTGGAACAACCCGTCGAGCAGTGAACAAGCTGTGCGTCCTTCCAGTAAACGATACTGTTGAAAGCCCTGACCTTTCAACGCGGGGAGTATGTTCGGAGCAGCAGCCGATAATGCAATCAACTTAAATCATTAGCCTCACATCGCAATATAAAGCGTTACATTTAAGCTTCAAATATTTTTATCATTTTGTTTAAACTTCTAAACATTTTGTACCACCCTAGCATAAATATTCCCAGTCCGCTATTGAACATATGTACATTATTATTGTAAAACCACTCACTTTATATTCCAATTGCAAAACATATGAGCATATACATGGAGGAGGGTAATTACTTGGGCTCATACATACTATTATACTGGACGAATGCAGGCGAACGGGATATGATGTGTACATAGTATGTACAAGTGCTGTGGCTCTTAAGGCGGGCGTACAAGCATGTACACATATCCATAAAAAACGGTCCATATGTATATCAAATAATGAGAGCATGTAAAAAAAGAACAAGTTTAACTATGTATTACTTTTTATCGCTCGAGGCTCTCATCTGCATAGAATTAAATATCACCGTTGTAAACTCCGTAATTCCCCTTTATGCTCACTGTTAAGAACAAACATTTTGTACATAATGTATACATATATACCTACACTAATAGGCTATTGCTCATGCGGAGTTAAGATTTGCAATCATTCGATTTTGGCAATAGAACTGAGCAGCAGATCAGCAGCGGCATAGGTGCATTTTATAGTTTAAGCTCACGGCAACGTCATCGTTTAGAATTCGAAATCAAAAATTAAATAAAAATTAAGTTGTTTCAACAAATCAAAGGTGTTGACCTTTTTTTTGTTAATTTGGAGTTTAATAGCTGCAAAAAAAGCTTTGCAGCTCAACAGATAGTTTTTGAAATTTTGGAAATTATCCTAAAAATAAGAAATCTCACGAAATTTAATGAGAAATCTCAAGAAATTTAATATTATTAATAGTTTCCCAATTCGATTTTTCTTACTCAAAGTTTACTTTTAAGAATTTACTCATGGCACTTGTCATAAGGGTTTCCCTTATTCTATGTATATATTTGTCATATAGTCTGTAAGCGTCCTGTTTGTTGATAATAATAATGAATAAATAAATAAACAAATAAATAAAAAAATAGCTGCGCATTATCCAGATGCAATGAAATGAAAGATTTGGGTGTTATCTTTGATCCGAAACTTACTTTCTCGAAGCATATAGACTATATTGTATCCAAAGCTTTTGCAATGCTAGGGTTTATAAGAAGAAATTCCAGAGGGTTTAAGGATCCATTTACTTTGAAATCTCTCTATATTTCACTAGTCCGGAGTCGCCTTGATTATTGTTCTCTAATATGGAGTCCCTATTACGTCATACATTCAAATAGAATAGAACGCGTTCAAAAGGTATTCACAAAGATCGCTTTGGGCAAGTTATCGTGGCATAGTTTCCTCTCCTCTTATATTGAGAGGCGCAAGTTACTTGGATTGCAATCCTTGCACGACAGGAGAACGTATTTCTCTATAATTTTTATATACAATATTATTAATGGTCGTATTAATTGTACGTATTTTGCAAATTTGCTCAAATTATATATTCCACCGCGAAACCTGCCGAATAATCGGTTGTTTGAATGTGCAACGCACTCTACCAATTATGGTGAAAATTAACCAATTTCTAGATGTGTTAGGCTTATTAAATAAAAGTAAATTAAATTTGTTTATGCAATTTAATTAATTATTTTAATAGTTCGGCCGCTGTGGTGTAGTGGTAAGCAGTGCGCGCTTTCACACATCCGCACCTGGGTTCAAGCCCTGGTCAAAGCAACATCCCAAAAAATATAGAAAACGGTTTTTTCTAAACAGCGGTCGTCCCTCGGCAGGCAATGGCAAACCTCCGAGTGTATTTCTGCCATGAAAAAACAGCTTCTCATAAAAATACAATCGCCGTTCGGAGTCGGCGTAAAACTGTAGGTCCCTCCGCTTTGTGTGACAACATCAAGGCGCACGCCACAAGTCGGAGGAGAAGCTCGGTCAAACACTAACATATGTGTAAGCGCCAATCTATTATTATTCTTAAATTAAATTTGTTTATGCAATTTAATTAATTATTTTAATAGTTCTAATTACCCTGTAAGAACTGAATTATGTAGACTGTAAATAAATAAATAAATAAATAAATAAAATCTAGAAATGCTATCTCCGATAAGTATACGCCGTGTAACATTTCGCATACGCTACGCTATACCTACAAATATATATACGTTAGAGTCTTACGCATACTCTACGCTATACATATATACATAAGTATATAAGTCCACCAGAAACATTTTTTAATCCCTTTTCAATAAAACATGGAGCGATTTGAAGGATATAACTTCGACAAATCTAGAAATGTTATCTCCGATAAATAGGGGCCGTGGAACATTTCGCATTCGCTTCGCTATACATCTATATGTATATAAGCCCGGCAGAAGAAATTGTTTAAATCCCTTTTCAATAAAACTTAGACCGATTTGAACAGACATTTTATCTCCGATAAATAGGGGCCGTGGAATATTTCGCATTCGCTACGCTATACTTATAAATATATATACGTTAGAGTCTAACGCATACTCTACGCTATACATCTATATGTATATAAGCCCGCCAGAAGAAATTGTTTAAATCTCTTTTCAATAAAACATGGACCGATTTGAAGCATATAACTTCGTCAAATCTAGAAATGTTATCTCCGATAAATATATATACGTTAGAGTCGAATGCATACTCTACGCTATACATCTATATGTATATAAGCCCGCCAGAAGAAATTGTTTAAATCCCTTTTCAATAAAACTTAGACCGATTTGAACAGAAATTTTATCTCCGATAAAGAGGGGCCGTGGAACATTTCGCATACGCTTCGCTATACCTATAAATATATATACGTTAGAGTCTAACGCATACTCTACGCTATACATCTATATGTATATAAGTCCGCCAGAATAAATTTTTTAAATCCCTTTTCAAAGAAACATAGACCGATTTGAACAGAAATTTTATCTCCGATTAATAGGGGCCGTGGAACATTTCGCATACGCTACGCTATACCTATAAATATATATACGTTAAAGTCTAACGCATACTCTACGCAATACATCTTTATGTATTTATATAAGTCCGCCTGAATACATTTTTTAAATCCCTTATGAGCCATACTTTTAGCTTTATCGTACTTCAACTAATATATATTGATTATCACTTTCTGTACTAAAAATCTTGTTCCATTATTAATATTAGCTGGATTAAGGTAACGATAGAATTTTTAAATTAAAATTAGTCTACTATGGTACATTCCGTTTACTTTCCTATTCGCTTAGCTGTTTTAGTATAGCTGCACTTTTCTGGTAGAATGCTTATTTCAGAAGTAGTTTTACTCATTACACATGAACATGTTTCGTTAACAGAATCGCGGTATTAATAAAATGATTTAATCCTTCCATTTCCAAATGGTCTAAAAGCCGTAAGGTTTCAAAAAAACACAGTTTTAAATATCGGAGTGGTCTAATAGTTGAATATATACAAACACATTTATATATACTTTATTCTAAACACCTCCCATACTTATGTCTGCATACCAAATTTCAGGTTCATGTGACTTATAGCTCCCAATTTATGGCTGCTAAAAAATTCCACGCTTATGGGATGTGACACGCACCCTTTTACAAACCCATTTATATATATCTAACTAAAACCACCTACCATGACTTATGGTTTTGAAATTATAGCCGATAAAAACTTCCACGCCTATGGGATGTGCCACGCCTCCTTTTAAAAACTCATTTATATATATCTTTTTGTTAACGCCTACCATATCTATACCTGCATACCAAATTTTAAGCTCGTGGGGCTTATGGTTCCCAAGTTATAGCTGATAAAAATTTCTACGACTATGGGATGTGCCACGATCCCTTTCACAAAATCATTTATATATACCTTACTATACGCCTCTGCTGTAGATATGCATGCATACCAAATTTCAAGTTCATGTGACTTACGGTTCCGAAGTTATAGCTGATAAAAAATTTTATGCCTATGGGAGGTGCCACGCTCCCTTGTCGAATCCCAATTTTTTTCTCCATTTCATAGGCCCAGGTGTCATGGTAATACTCTGTACAATTTTTGTTCGATTCTGTCCGCCCGTTTAAGCTGCAACCTCCACAAATATATAGTAGATATCTACTTTCTCTTAGCGTAAAATAATATTTGGGGATATCTCGGACACAGGGCCACCTGTCGTGTAATTTTTTAGTCCAAATATTCCTTTTCAATTGGCTAACAAATGTTCTTAATATGAGCCAAATCTGCAACTAAATGCACTTTTTAGGAATATCCCGGCCCCAGCGCCACCTAGCGGTTAAAGTTTTAGGCGGAATATTTCCCTTCAAGGTACCGACATATGTGCC